GAGTTAAAAGAAAAACACAAATATTTTTAAGTATAAATGTTCTAGAATACACCTTCAGCAAAGCTGCCATATATAATGTATGTAATTTTTTATATATATATAAAATATATATACACACATACATATAAAATATATATACACACACACATACATATAAATAAAATAAACAAATTGACAAAACCCACAAATATTTAAAAATCAGCCTGTCTTTCCTCTTTAGGATAATAAATAAGGTAAAATTAAGAAAATTTAATTAGCTCATTATACATTTCACTCATCTCAAACTGAATAGCCAAGCACAACTTTAAGGATCATTTACATTCACTTATGATACTGAAGATAACATTTAACCCATTAACCTATCCTCATGAAATACTACTTACAGTTACACTGTTAACATTCTGAAACTTAACATAACGAAGTGGAACGATGCCATCTTCTTTAATATCATCCTCTGTCAGTTCCAGAGCTTGAGTTGGTTCACTCCTTTCTGCCTCTTCAAAATCCATAGATCGGGGTAGATTGATAAAAATTTTTACATACTTAGGACCCTGGCCTATAAAATAATAGAATGAAATGAAACACCACAAATTATAAACATATTTATACTTTATCATTATACTCACAGTATACACAGACACACACACCCATACAATATGCACATACCTACACAGATACACTTTCACAGATCTCTTCCATCAGGACTTGTAAGAAAATGTTTTTATAGCCACTCTATTTTTTTTTTTTTTTGAGAGATTTTCACTGTAGGGCGCGTGCGCTCGCCAGACAGACAGAGAGAGACGTAGAGACAGAAAGCGAGAAATCACCCCCCAGGGGGGATGGTCACGCCGCAATCCCTTCTCCTCCATTCTCCTCTCGGGATCTTGGGCACGCACGCACACGCACCCGGCGTGAGTTTTAAGCCACCAGGTCCGGGACACGAACCGCGGTCGACTACGACTACGTGGGAGTCCAGCGACATAGCCATTACGCTAACTGCTGGTTCCCCTAACCACTCTATTTTTTTTTCCTACACATATTTATGGGTACTTTGTTGGCTTAGCAAATACCGTACTAAATATTAGAAATATGAGATTAAAACATACATACCGACATGCATATGCATGTATGTACACATATGTAGACTCTCCACCCACAACTACAGAAGACATACTATGAAAAATGTAATATGAATAGCGACAAGGTTTAAGAAGGTATCAGTAGGTTCTGACACTATATGAAATTTAACAGAAAGTTTCATAAAACAAATAGCATTTAAGCTAGATCTCACAGTTGCCAACAGCTGGTGTATTTTGTTATTTAGAAGGAAAGCATCACCTGTGACAACACTTAGCCAAAAGTGAATTAATCATAAAAATTGCCAAATTTCATTTTAAGAAACTGAAACTAGATTAGGATGTACTTGGAGGTAAGGACACATGCATAGACCCATATTTTGCAGCTAATTAAAAAAAAGAAATTAAGACCAACTTCTACAGCATTTGCTTGTACATACACTGTGTATTTTCTGAAAAGTACAATTTTACTAATTAAAAAAGTATGAACATATGAAAATTTAGATAAATGACAAGAAAATGCTATTTGATAAATAGGGCCTCTTCTCCCAATTAAAAAATCCTACTTCCCATCCCCTTGTTCACCACCACTTAAACAAAGAAAACGAAGCACCTCAAAAGAAACAAGATAAAGGGCTAAACAAGAAAAATTCTTTACAGAAAGGGATTTCCAAATCTGTACAATCGTGTTTATATGTGTAGATCTAAAAATGATGATACTAACAGAGCACAGATAGGAAGATCTGGAACCTTAGTTTTATCATTTGTAACAATAGGGGTTTGAAATCTTTCCAAGTTCTGTTTTTAAGAGAGAGAGTTTTGCTACAAGGTGTGTGTGCTCACTGAAGACACAGAGAGACAGAGAGAGAGAAAGTGAGAAATCACCCTCCGGGGTGGATGACCACACTGCAATCCCTTTTCCTCCATTCTCCTCTTAGGATTTTGGGCATGCAGACAAAGGAGTTTTAAGCTGCTGTGTCTGGGACTCAAACTGCAGTTGGCCACATGAGAATCCAGTGCTGTTAACCACCACACTACCTGCTGGCCCCCCAAGTTTTAATTATTAAAAAAATGACTGCTTTAGACCAGCCTGTGGCATCATTGTTAAGGTGGCTGGATACCACATGGTCAACTGTGTCATTCAAGTTCCAGACACAATGGCTGAGAAAGCACACCAGGTTCATGTGCTATTATACTCAAAATTCTGAGAGGAAAAAGGAGGATTAGGGACTGCAAGTGTGTTCATCTTCCTGAGGGTGTTCTCTCACTTTTCCCCGCTATCCTTGTGTCTCACAGGTGAGCAAACATGCCCAGTAACAATTTAAAGAAATAATACAAAAACATAAAAGTAGTTGCTTCAAATCTAGAATTTTAAATTAATATTTAGAAAAATGATTCAAGGGGCTGGCAGGTGGCATGGTAGTTAAGGGCTGCACTCCCACATGGCTGAATGCAGCTCGAGTCCTGGACCTGAAGGTTTGCTTTCTCACTTACTTTCTCTCTCTTTCTGTCCCTCTCTGGTCAAATTAAAAGGAAAGATAAATAAAATCATTCTTTAAAAAAAAAAAAAAAGAAAAAAAAAAAAGAAAAAAAAAAAGAAAGAAAGGAAATAAGATTCAGTAGTAAATAAATAAACTTAAAAAAAAAAAAAAAAAAAAAAAAACAGGATTGAGTTGTCTTCAGATTAGGAGTAAATGATCCAAACTTAAAACAAAAAGCTGGGGACCTGACAGTTTTGGGTACCAAAACACAATGCTCTACAAGGCTGGCCCACATGGGTAGGTTCTGGATTTGCAAAAGGATACTTGAGTATGCTGGGCATGTGTGTGCCTGTGATCTGGGACTCACTGAGGCTGGAGGTAGACTATGATGTGTGGACCTTGTTGGGGGTGCCTGCCTCCCTGTCTCTCTTCCTCTGTCTCTCTCACTAATGGAATAATTAAGTTAATAAACTTTCAACACAGTTAAAATCAGATTAAAAAGGGGCCAACAGGTGGCATGGTGGTTGAAGCACTGGACTCCCACATGGTCGACCACGGTTTGAGTCCCGGACCTGGAAGCTAACTTTCACACTTTTCCTCATTCTCTCTGTGTCTCTCTCTGTTCAGATTAAAAAATAACAATAAAATTTTTAAAAAAAGATAAAAAAATGTTTAGAAATCAAAATTCCTTTCCTATTTTCAGCCCCTAATAATCTTCTGTATCTGTCCATTCATTCATATCCTTGCATTGTTCCAAAAACAATTTCACTGTTTATTAAAACAAAGAAATATCTATCTCAAGTTTTAAATATGTGCTAACAGGTCTACAAAGTAGAAAGTTGGATTTCAGAAAAACTGTCCTTTACTCACCATTATCTGGTCCTTGAAATTTCATGGAATAAAGCTTAACAGGTTGGTTGAATGCCACAGTAATAAGTAGCTGTGAAGAAAACAGTTTCATTTTAAAAGGGCTCTTTGAACACCTTGAATACACAAAACACCCAAACAGAACTAAAATAAGAGAGGCAAAAAAAAAAAAAAATCCAATTCATCTAACAAAACAAATGTAATAGGGAAAAATCAGTAAATTAAAAGTAACTTGATTAGATTGACATTTGAAAAATACCACCATTAATTATGTATATAAGGGAATAGCAAAAAAAAATTAATGGAGTAAATTTACTAAAATTATGCATAAGAACCTAAGGTCTTACGACGTATAAACCAGCAAGCAACCTGCTTTTCAATAAATCAAACAAAATCCCCAAATTAAAATGGATATTTTAGCATATAGCTTTACCTTTTTCTAGGCCAGTCTATCAAGTATCTATGCATGTCACTGACAATTTAGAACCCACACAGGTTAGGAACACAGGTTAGTCTTCAAATGAACTCGAATCCCAAACTCAAGAGAAGAGGACTTCTTATAGCTATAGAGAATCTCCAAACTTCCATTCTAAACTTACCTAATTCACTGAATCCAAGGGCCACATAAGGTAACTGGGATATAAAACACAGTCAGAATGACTGTATCTCAGAACTCTGAGTCATTTGCTCAATCTTCTTATGAGTGAGCCAAAATTGGTTCTGAGGTAAGTACTAAGGCTTCTACCCTGGAAAAAAGATTTTCCTAGCCGGAAGATTTCAGAAAGGCTGTATCTAGTCCTCATCATGTTATGCATCATCACATTATTTTTAGGGCACTATTTACAAGGAACAAAACGTGAATGATACTCTGAAAGCTGTAAAATAAAATGGCTCTGATTAGAGCAAAAAAGATGGGTTTGGGGCTTATGATTTTGGAACCATACCGTGGTCTATCTTCCTAAGAAACTAATTAGGCTATTTGTTTTGGTTTTAAGAGTACGTTTTATAATTTTAAGCTATCAAAATAAATAAATATGACAGGTTTAGACTGAACTGCAGATAAAGAGTAGGAGATGAGGCAGGAAAGCCAGAAACAGATAAAGTCAGCCAGACATCCTCTTCCTGAAACCAATGAGGAACCATTCTACTCTTCTAAGAGAAACATGCAGATCTATACTTTAAAAAAATAACTTCTATGCCCATGTAGAAGATGAACTGGAACATGCACAAACCAGCGACAATGAAATATAGTCAGGTGAGGAAAATAAAAGCCAAGAGGAAGATGAAGAAACCTTAAAAAAGGCAGTAACATCTACTTCCTCTGCGACCACGCCACTGAAGGGCAGCAAAGGGGATGCAATATAGGTTTATAACCTAGAGCGAGGAGCTAGTATATAAGGAGTGCTCTATTTTTCATACACAAACTCATTAGGGTGGGAAAGTGTGTGAAAGGCAGGTCAAGGATGAATAGTGTGGTGACTCAACTCAGCAGCAGAGCCAATCTGAGAGTTCTGCAACTTTCCTTTATGTGTACCTAATATTTAGCAGAGCAAAGACAGGAGATGGGTCTATATGATCAGAGATCCAGAGTCAAGGAAACTGAAAGCTATCAAAATAAAGGGTAAAGTGATTATTTGGAAAGGAGAGACTACCACGAGATGAGAACATGATAAAGAAATCAGAGAGGGCATAAATAATGATAATCCCAATAAGTCTCAATTTAAGCAATCAATTACCTGTTCATCACAGTCAGATTCCAAGAAGCTGAGGTCTTTTCGTAAACAGTTGTCAAACCCATTTTCATCGCTTTCATTAAGACACTCACAACCAGCTTTGTTAATAAATGGCATTAAATCCATCTAAAAACATTAAGATCAAGACTTTAGGCAAAGCATTTAGATTTGTTATTAAAAATTTAAATGTTAGTAAAAAATCAAATATATTAAAGTAATAATAAAAATGCTAATCTGTGTTTCTCACTATTTTAGGCAATTTTTAAAGAAAACTGCTCTTTTAAAAGAGTTACTATACTTTTAATAATAGCTCTTTCATTTAAATTTTTTTCTTTTTTTGGTCATAGGATGTGTGTGCTCACCAGAGAGACAAGAGATAGTGAAAGTGAGAAATCACCAGCTGGGGAGGAGGGGGCTTATGGCCACACTACAATCCCTTCTCTAAACTCCTGAGATTCCAGGCATGCACATACATGAACCCAGCCTGATTTTCAAGCTGCCTGGTCTAGGACTCAAACTGTGGTCAGCCACATGGGAGTCCAGGGTCTTTATCGCCATGTCCTCTGCTTGCCCCTTCATTTGAATTTTTGAGACTTACCACTGATTATTAATGGTGACCTACATTTTTTTTTTTCATTTTTTTCTATAGGGCACTTGAGCTCCATAGGTCTCATCCGGAGAGAGAGAGAGAGAAAGAGAGAGGGAAAGTGAGAAATCATTCCCCAGGGGAATGGCCATACCACAATCCCTTCTCCTGAATTCTCTTCTTGGGATTTTGGACACACATGCACATTCACCTGGCATGTTTTTCAAGCTGATGGGTCCAGGACTCAAACCATGCATTTGACCATGTAGGATCTAGCAGCCTTAAATTTCATGCCACCTATTGCTCCAGTAACTTACTTTTTCAATAACTGTTTTATAGTGGAAAATAGGCAAATTAAAACATCTGTAAGATCTACAGAAAGCTTATCTACCTCTTCTAGTGGTCATGAACTCTTTTTTTTTAAAAAAAAAAAAAAAAAGATATTTGCTATCGGGTATGTGTGTTCACCACAGAGGCAGAAAGTGAGAAATTAGCCCCTGAAGGAGAAGATGGCATGCTGCAATCCCTTCTACTCTATTCTCCTCTTGGGATTTTGGGCACGTATGTAAACACGCCTGCTGTCAGTTTTAAGCCACCAAGTCTGGGACTTGAACTGCAGTCAACTACATGAGACCCCAGTGATGTAATCATTATGGCATCTGCCAGTGCCTGTGAACTCTTTAAACCTACACCCACAGAGAAGTTACTAGGTCACCAGGGAAGTCATGACATATTTTGTTTTTCTATGTAAAAATGTTTCATGACTTTCTTGACAACCCAATAATTTTGAGATGAATAGCAAATTCATCTTTAAAATACTTTATCATAAAGAATTTCAAACAGATATAAATAGCGCCATGTACTCACCATCCTCTGCTACAGCAGTCATCAATTGATGGCTACTCTTATTTCCTTACTCCCAGTTATATCCTAATCCTGTTCCCAATTGAAGCAAATCTTAGAAACTTTTCACTCATGAACATTTCAGTGCATACGTGCAGGAGATGAGGACTCTCTAAACTATACACACTATCCTCAATATCAGTACCACAACTAAAATGATATGTTGGCAATAATATGTTGTGCAACAATTAAGAATTACACAGAGGAAGCTGGATTCCACATGGTTAACTTTAGTCTAAATCTTGGCCCAGGGCCTTGAAAAACACACATGTGCTAGTGTGCCTGGGAGCTTGATGGGGCAAAGAAAAGGAGGAAAAAGGATTGTGGTATGACCAGACCCCAATAGGGGGTGCCTTCTCTTTCGCTCTTTTCCATATGTACCCACGGGCATAAAAACCACAATTAGTAATACCTTAGTATATTTCCTTAACTGTCTTATAGATGTTTTATAGTTGAATTCTTAGACTAATAAAGACCGCCCCACAAAGGATAAACACTATATTTGGTTAAAATGTCTCTTATATCTCTCTCTTTTTTTTTTGAATAGGGATATGTTCTTATCTTTTTTAAAATAAATTACACTTTTTCCATTTTTTAAAGTTCATCAAAAAACTCCCCAAAGTAGTTAAATCTTCATTCTTCAGGAATTATTCACTCACAGAGCAGATCACCATTTCATATTTTAAATCCCAGGGCTCTCATGCACTCCTTGTGGACCTCAATTAGATGTCCACAGTGCTCTTTTCCTTTCTCGATGATGCACGTATTGCGCGCCTTCTTGGTCTCGGGCAGGTGCAGCAGGGCTTCAGCGGCTTCTTCTCCTGTGACTCAGCCGGGACAGGGCTTGCAGCAACCAGGCCCAGCATCTTTCGTGCCGAAAGCACCACAAGTGCAGACACCCTAAATTCTGCCAACCCTTACAAATGCCAATTCCTCTTATATCTTTTAATCTATAATCATTTAACTTATAGGTATCTTAATACTTTGGATTTTGCTCACTGCTTTCCTGTGGTGTCAGCATATTTTAGTTCCTATTAACTGTGTTGGCTAATACTTCCACACTTCCCACTTGATGCTGAAACGTTGAGGGTAACAATGGTCGTGTTTGTCTTACTTGACTTTAATGGGAATGCCTCTAATATGTCCCCCATTGTAATTTTTTTCAATACTTCAGAAATAATTTTGTTAAATATCTTTTCTGAATATCGGAATTTCATGATTTTTCTCTTTAGCTATGGTAATATGACAGAGAGAGAGAGGGCAAGTGAGAAATCAGCCTTCCCAGGAAGGACTGCCACACAATCCCTTCACCTTCATTCTCAGGATTTTAGGTATGTACACACAAGTGCCCAATGTGTTTTTTAAGTCACCTGGTCCAGGCAAAATCCTGGACTCAGTCATGTGGGATCAAGTATCTTAATCACAATGCTACCTAATAGCCCCATGATACTTATTTTTTAAAAAATTCATTTTTTGATTTACCAGTACAGTAACTTTGTAACTAAAATATTAAGAAAGATAGAAATACACACACATACATATATTTGTATGCAAGATTTATGAATCTGCATAAACAAATTTGCTGTCATGAAGTGTTTCTTCTGAATTTTGCTTCTATCCTCAATAGTTCTCAAATGATAAAATGCTTCATTATAACTATCCACACTTTGCAGTTTTCGAACACTATCTTTTCTTTTTTTTTTTATTTAAGTGTTATTTTTTATTTATTTATTTTCATTTGACTAGAGAGGGACAGAGTGAGAGAGAAGGAAAGTGAGAAAGCAAGCCACCAGGTCCAGATCTCAAACCGTGGTCGGCCATGTAACAGTCCAGATCCCCCAACCATCATGCCACCTGCTGGCTCCCTCTATCCTTTTTTCTTTTCCAGGACTGGATCTTACTCTGTGGTGATACTCCTGCCTCAGCTGGGACTACGAGTATGTGACACCACACCTAGCTCTTTTTTCTTTTTAATAATTCCAGAGGGTGTGTGTACTCTCCAGAGCGATAGAAAAAGAGAGAAAGTGACCCCCTCAGGGGAAATGGTCACCTAGCAATCCCTTCGCCTCCACTTCTCCTTCTTTTTGGGCAAACACACACAATATGACCATGAGTGCCCCCAAAAATCACAGTTCACATAAGCATCAAGTTATAAGATGACCTTCTTTTTACATTTTTTAGACAACGTATTGGCTGTGTTGCCCAGGTCAGCCTTGAGCTCACAATCTGATCTCAGCCTCCTGAGAAATATGCCATCAACCTGGCCTTCAAACATCATTTTTAAGTTTTTAAGTGAGTAAGTTATTACTTAGAATAAGTTACAACTTAGAAACATAAAACACTGAAATATTTTATTCTAAAATAATATCAAACACTAGACTTTTAATAGAATCCCAGAAAAGAGGGGCTACTTGGGGGTCAACAGGTGGAGTGGTGGTTAAGGGTGCTGCATTCCCACATGGCCGACTGCGGTTTGCGTTACAGACCTGGCAGCTTGCTTTCTCACTCTGTCCCTCTCTCACCCGTCCCTCTCTGGTCAAAGTAAAATAAATAAGTAAGTTAAATAGTTAAATAAAATAATTCTTTTTTTTTTTTTTTTTTAAAGAGAGAATTCATGTAAAAAGGACAAAAACATCACAGGAAGTAAGAAGTAGCAAAGGGAGTTCAGGACATAATATTGGGTTATAAAAAAGTTGTGATGTGTTCTTCTATGCAAAAATGGATCATGACTTTGACAACCCAATAGTTACAGCTTAATATTTACAAGTTGTTCCTGTACACTGTCAAAAAGTGGAATGACATATTCCAATGCACCATTTCTTCAGCTTGAGGAGAAATAAGTACGAACCAAAGCATTTCAAAGTGGAAAGAAACAAATAAAAAATGAGTGGCAAAGAAAATTTGGACAAATTTAGGAAGAACAGTTTATGACATGGTTTATAATACACACAGAGAGACAAAACTCAATAGTCAGGAAATTAATTTAGTTTGATGGGCTAGCAAGTGGCATGGTGGTTGGGGTGCTGCACTTCCAAATGGCCAACTGCTGTTTGAGTCCTAGACCTGGTGCCTTTCTTTCTCATTCTCCCTCCCCTCTCATTGGTGAGCACATGTGCCCAACAGCAATTTTTTAAAAATAAAAGTAACAATAAAATAAAATTATTCTAAAAACAAAAAAATAGCAAATAAATTTAGTCTGAGAGTTCTTTTTAAAAAGTATTCTGAACTAGTAAAAGATGAAATGTGAAAATATAGTCATTTTCATCTTAACCAAATAATGACAAATGCAAAATATTATATCATAATTTCACTTTGTAGTCTACATACATAGCCTTTTGGAATATCTGTGTCTTCATTGCTTCCAGGGTCATTTTCTAAGTGTTGTTTGATTTTTTCTTCTAGTCCCACAGCATCTGCTCCTTGATACTGATCAATTTTCACTTTGTTTCGGAAAAACAAAAATGTAGGTGTTGCTGATATATTGTTGGTGGCAGCTGTTCCCTAGAATTGGCAAGTTATACAGTGCGAAGAATTAATACAAATCTTAAACCACATTGAATACTCATTCTACACCTTTATGGAAGTTAAATATCACCAAATATAAACTGAAAATGTAAAATAATATACTCTTTGTTTCCCCATGGGTCAGTTCAAAAAATTTAATTAATTTATTTATAATTTCTGGTTTACATATAATTGATGCAAATCTCTGTGGACTACAGCATGATTTGTTTAAGGCAGATCTATAGTGTACAATAATTAAATGTAAAATAATATAGTCTTAATTATTAAGAAAAAGCAAACCTATTCCTAAAAAAGTTCCCACTGAAGTCTAGCTACCTTTTTTCCCTATACCCACACTAAAAAATGAGCACTAAATTTTATCAATTTTACTATTAAATATTTAATCCAGTAGAACAATTAATTTCTGGAATAGAAATTGTGCTTTATACCAGTCTGGTTAATTGATGTAGTCAACATAAGCCACTAATGCTAAGAAAATGTACAACTACAACACAGTGGCTAATGTGCCTGTGAAAAGGTGGTAATGTCTTTTGCATTGCAATTCTCACCCAATGTTTACTCTTACAGAAATGACTTCTGGTTGTCCACCAAACAGAATGTAGCAGCTTTTTAAATTGTGCCCTAACTCCACAATTTTGCACTAACAATTGAATAGAGAAATTAGCTAATTACTATTGAGTATCATGATTTACACATTTCATGACATGTATAAAGAAAACAGTAAAGCAAATGTGTCATCTTACACATTCAAATACTATGAAAAGGTATCCCTATGTAGTTTAAAGAGAAAATTGCATAAAAATAACAGAGGGGTGTCTTTTTCTAAGCCTCACAAGTCAAAGAAACTACGAATAACCTTTTAGAACCGTGCCACCAAAAGAAATCTAAAGCAAGACACAAATGTGAGCTACATAAGTAATTTAAAATTTTCTAGTATCCATAATAAAGAAGTGAAAGGAAACAAACAAAATCAGCTTTAATAATATATTTTAGTAAATTCAATATACACATTTCAGACCAAAAAATAAAAATAAAAAGATCATGAAATACTTTACATTTTTTCTTTCATACTGTTTTCAAAATTTAATATGTATTTTACACCTTTGGCACATCTCAACTTGGATTTACCACATTTCAAGTGTTTAATAACCACATGTAGCTAGTAGCTACCATACCAGACAGCCCAGCTCCAGAAGGAAGTACTTTCAGATTAGAGACAGTGAATATTTCAAATAAGGGCCAGTGATGCAGTTCAGTAACATGTGACGTATGTACTGAAATGTTAATGTATAATGTAGGGGTTTACATCAAATTCCTAAAGTACCAGCTTTAAAATATTCTAAAATTGTTTCCACCAATAAAACAAACAGGAAAGTCAGTTTTAGCTGCAGAGCTATTCCTTAAACCTAAAGACTCTAGTTTGAAAGGAGCCTTTCAAAATTTTTTTCCTTAATAATTCCTCATATTTGTGCATATGCAAATAAAGAACTATCAAACAGGCATTCCAATTAAGTAATCTGGGTAATTTACCTACAATGCCATGCCTCAATCAACAGCAATCCATATTCTAAAATTTCTAATGAGAAGGCAGCTTTGGAGATAAGATTACAAATCAAATTATAATGAAGTATTTCTTGCCATGGCTTTATAACCAACCAATGCCTCAGTAGTAAAAGATGTAATTCCAGATTTGAAAAGATAAAGAAATGTAAAACAGAGAACTTCCAGATGACCTATTAGTTTAACAAATAGTTATTAATTCTACTGAAAAAAAAAAGACCAAACCTGAAACAATGAATAATGTCCTACCTTTCTTAACTAACGTAGTCATAATGACATGTGTAATAATCATGTCAACATAACATTTCCCTATCTTCAAAAAAATAAGATTAATATGCATAAAAAGACAGATGATATTAATGTTGGATTTAAAATTGATTTGAAAGTAAATTTAAAAAAAAAGCAGACTCTAATCCCTTACCTGACACTGATGTACATCTACTTCTAAGAAAACCGCCTGAGGATATTTATTACTCATAGAACTGAATGCCGGGGCAATCCTCAAACATGGTCCGCATCTATGAAAAAGGGAGAAGAGACATTTAGTAGATTAATACTCAAGATTAAATTAATTTATACTCTAAAATACTTGTCGCTTTCTGTCTCTCTCTGTCTTTTTGGTGAGCGTACACACCCTAAAGCAAAAACCTCTCCAAAAAAAAAAAGAAAGAAAAAAAAAAAAAGTCAACTGTCTACAAGAAGTTCATGGAATAGGTATATTATTAAAAAGTTATAAATGGATTTCTAAATGTTATACAATAAAATAAACTCCATTTTTCACTAAACTTTTAGAAGTGCCCTCATATGATTCCATTTAAATATATCCAAAAAATACATAAAGTAATGCTGATTACACAGGTATGTTTAGTTTGTAAAAATTCACTGAACCAGGGAACCAGCAGTTAGCGTAATGGCTATGTCGCTGGACTCCCATGTAGTCGATCGCGGTTCGCGTCCCAGACCCAGTGGCTTAAACTCACACCAGGCGTGTGTGCATGCGTGCCCAAAATCCCGAGAGGAGAATGAAGGAGAAGGGATTGCGGCGTGACCATCCTCCCTGGGGGGTGATTTCTCACTTTCTGTCTCTATGTCTCTGTCTGTCTGGAGAGCGCACGCGCCCTATAGCAAAAATCTCTCCAAAAAAAAAAAAAGAGAAATTCACTGAATCAGAAATTTATAACTGTTACAGCTTAGTAAAAGTTCATGATATTAAAAGAAAATCTTGACTTTAGAAGAAGGAATGTAAAGAAAAGCAAATTCTATAGCACAAATTAAAACAGGTTCAAACTCAAGTTGTGGCTGTTTCTTCACTTTTAACATTTTAAACAGCATTTCCATTCTGTGTCAAGTCTCAAATGAAAAGCTAGGAAGACAAATACTAAGTTCTTAAATATTAAATTGAGTGCTTCTGGGACCAGCAGTTAGCGTAATGGCTATGTCGCTGGACTCCCACGTAGTCAACTGCGGTTCGAGTCCCAGACTCGGTGGCTTAAACTCACGCCGGGCGCGTGTGAGTGCGTGCCCAAGATCCCGAAAGCAGAATGGAGGAGAAGGGATTGCGGCGTGACCATCCTCCCTGGGGGGTGATTTCTCACTTTCTGTCTCTATGTCTCTGTCTGTCTGGAGAGCGCACGCGCCCTATAGCAAAAATCTCTCCAAAAAAAAAAATTGAGTGCTTCTAAAAGTACATTGTTTGATCTAACACTTCTCAGACTCAGAGACGCAACTGTAAAGAAATAAACATTTACAATCAACCCAAACCATTAAGTCTTAAACTGTATGGATGGGAATATAAATTGGTACAATTGAATATACCTTATCTAAACTACTTGTGAACAGAAAAGTTTTGGATTTTCATTTTTTTCCCCAAGATTTTAGAATATCTGTATATATATGTGCTATTTTGGGGATGGGACCTGAGTCTAAACACAATATTTTCTTTTGTTTCATATATACCTTATAGCCTAAAGGTAATTTTATACAATATTTTTATATTGCAGCATTTTGACGGAGACCTGTGACATAATATCAGGTACAGAAATTTCAATTTGTGGTATAATGTCAATGCTTAATAAGTTTTGAATTTTGGAATATCTTAGATTTTAGGTTTTCAGGTTACGAATAATTAAACTTTACATCCAATCATGGATTTGAGTCATATCTATCCATTTTAAATGAACGTGACCCATGACTAAAATATTACCCCTGAAAATCTATCGTATTTTAGCAACACTTACTCAATCTCACAATAATTTGTAGAAGGTCAATGTAGCATGCTAGTAATAGTGAAAAATCAGAAACAATCAACAGAAAAATCGCTTAAAATGTATGATATATCTATGGTCCTGAGAAAATCTGTAGTGTTTTTTTTTTATTCAGTGGGAGGATCTCATGATAAAATGTTCTCTATGATCACATTTTAAATTTATATGTATACATAAATGTATATTAAACATTTGTCAGGCAAGGCCCAGCCAAGATGGCATGGGCTGTGAAGTGCTACTCTGCAATGCTGGAACCATGTAAAGGAACTCAACCGGGAACCCAGGTCAACCTGACATACCTATGATCCTGGCTGGCTAGAGGCATGGGGGCAGATTTACTGTGTGAAGTTACCCAACAGGAAGTGCCTGTTTCTTCCTCTCTCCCTCTTTTTTCCTCTTTCTCTCATGAAAGAAAGTTAGAAGGACACAATAAACAGTTAATTACTTCCATACAACATTAGAAAAGAAAGTTTATTTAGGGAAACTTTTTTAAATATCCATAATCAGTATTCTTTTGTTTTTCATGATAGAACAAGCATTTTTATTTAACAATATCAAATAAGTTGAGAATAGAAAATTTAACATCAAATACATTTAAATAGGTGCCCCAAGTCGCAAAGGTATTTATGCTGTAACACAATATAACTACTCCTGAAAACCACCCTCTTGGAGAAGTGTGCACTCAAAAAAAGAGAGTTTATTGGAGAAAACTGAGGCAAAGAACTTGAAACCAATACAACTTTGTAAAAAGATCACTAAGAAAAACAGTAACCAGGACTGAGGAAATAGTTGGTCATCTCAGCAGGCAGCTCAGAGCTAGAGGCTACCCTCAGGGGTTATTTAAAATGAACCAAAGCAATCAAGGAGAAATTATGTTTATAGGTGTTGTGACAATGCAGTTGAAAGTAGAACTGAACTCTAAGGCAAGGGGCTGCCATTAAGGAAGGGTCTAGGAAATTTGACATTGAGAATAAATCCTTCTGGAAACAAAGCTACACGTATAGATGGTCCTAATTAATTTTACTAATTTTAACTTTTTTTGTTTGTTTGTTTGTTTATAAGACTGAAAGGGAAGCTATCCAAACAATTGAGGGCTTTTCTCCTGAAGTTGATGATTTTACTTCTATTCCTGCTCTTTACTACATAGGGAAACAATCACATATGAACCAATACAACTTACACATTATATGGAGTTTAACTCTCTATTCACTTTAACCACAAATTAAAGAAACATTTCTTCTAACTAAACTGACTTTACTAACATACAAAAGTACAAACACATACAGCAGCATACTTTCACACCACAATCATTGAAATAATTTTTTTATGAGAGGTTTTTGCTATAGGGTGCATGCGCTTGCCGGCGACAGAGGGATTTTGGACACACAAACACATGCACCTGACTTGAGTTTTAAACCCTTGCTGGGTCTGGGACTCAAACTGCGGTTGAGTGGGAGTCCAGTGATGTAACCATTATGCCATCTGCTGGTCCCCAAATAAACTATTTTAAGAAAGATGTCTGTCATCATTAACATCAGCATTCAAGAATAAATAAGTATCCACTGTTGACTGAGATCATTAACAGGTCACTTGATTTTTCCATATAGATGATTCTCTGGACAACATACAGCCTGGTGGTTAACGTGGCTGGATCCCACATGAATAACTGCTCATACAAGTCTCAGACCAGGGACTTAAAAATGCTGGGCTAACATATGTGCATGTTCCAAATCCCAAGAGATGGGAAAAATGGAGAGGAAGGACATAGGCAGACTATGCCCAAAATATGGGGAGGTGCTTTCTCTTTCTCCCTCCCCTTTACCTCCCTCCAACAAGCACATGGGCTCTCTGGTAAATTCCAACATGCACATATATACACTCTCCAAGGACCTTTCCCAGCTCTAAAATTCTATGCACCCAGTATGCTGGAGCTTCAAAATTACTTCTTTTTCTTGGAAAACCCTTGACTTTTAAGCCTTTACCACAATTGAAGATGTTTTTATCTTGATGCAAAAGGGGCAAAAGATTACCTAGTCCAGATAAAAATGAAGAGAACAAGTTATTCTTCCACTCTGAAGTTCTTCTTTGACTGAAAGTTTCTTTATTCTGTTAAACTTTATTGGTTTGAAAAGGCCACCATACTTTTGCTTGGGTTCCATAAGAGAATACTTGGGGACCAGCAGATGGCATAATGGTTATGTCCCTGGACTCCCACATGGCTGATCTCAGTTCAAGTCTCAGACCCCCATAGCTTGAAACTCACACACGTGCATGCCAAAAACCCCTAAAGAATGGAGAAGAGACTGTGGCATAGGCATCCCCCCGAAGGGTGATTACTCGCTTTCTGTCTCTGTTTCTTATAAAGCACATGTGCCCTCTAGAAAAAAATCTTTCAAAAAAGAGAGAACATTTGGAAGTCTGGTTTCTTAAGTCCTTAATAAGCCAATCACAGAAGCAATACTTCAGTCAACCACCGAATGTCCACCCTTTAAACTGTGCTCATGCAGAAAATATCAAAATTTAACCAATCCAATTATTTCTCTACCTCATTCCCTCACTTTCATTTTGTGTATATCACTTTCCCCTTCTTGAGTATAACTGTCACCCAACCATGTGGCTATCCCAAGTTCCTTAAAAAAATCATTCTGGGGGCTGCCTGATTCCCATTGTTTTTGTTCAATTAAATACCTCTAAATTAAATTTTCTTAAAAGTTTTTCTTTTAACAGCCCAGTCCAATATGTAAAACAGAAATGTTTAGGGTTTTAAGTTATACTTTTTGAGCAAAAGCAAATACAGCAGACAAACCTCTAGTTTTTTACAAAAGATGAAGAACCTAATCAATAGAACCAAAACTTCATGATTGTTGTAACTTGATACAATAATCTAATAAGAACTGAAGATGAGAAAAAATGGCTTGCCCAAGATTAAGCATCCTAGTTAGTGGCAGGAACACAAGAACAATCAATCCCCTAAATCTAATTCAGTATCAGCTTTCTTTGAAAGCACTACAATTGGTTGTAATTAATAAATACAATTTTTCTTTACAGCTATAACGTAATTTTTATTTCATCAACTTGCTAACTATTCTTCACTATTTGCTTTAGTATTCAGTGCTGTCTTACTTAATACTTGTATAAACACACAGCTGGCAAACAGATAAAGAATATGTATCTTTTGAAGCTATATTTTAAGTTTTGTCTTTCTGCAGGTTTAACTTTAAGAGACAATTTCAATACACAGTATATCTACTAAC